GTGCCTGCAGCAAGGACTGAATGCTAAGAAACACAATCAAATTTTAATTTATTTCCAGAAGAAGATTGGCTCCATGTATACACAGACGGATCTAAGATGGGAGACCACATAAATGTTGGTGCAGGAGTATATAGCAACATCTTTGCATTCTATATTCCAGTGGGAAGATACATGATGGGGAAATTGAAGCCATCCGAGTAGCCCTGAACCAACTGGTCTGCTACCGTGAAAAGTTCAAGAATGTAGTTATCCTGTGTGACTCAAAAGCAGCTATAGAATCTGTAAGCTCCACAGATATTAAATCAACACAAATCCAAGACTGTCAAAATGCATTACAACATCTAAAAGCCAGTAATAAATTAGTATCTCTACAATGGATTACAGGACACTGCAACATATATGGCAAAGAGCAGGCTGACATTTTGGCTAAAAAGGTGCTCAGATAACCCTAACAACATTGAAACCAACATCCTACCATACAGCTAAAATATACATCAAGAGAGTTATTCAAGGCACCCACACCCTTGAAATCAAAGCAAAATCACATGGCAAACCCTGGCAAAGGGATATCCTTACGATACCAGACAGGCCAAGAAAAGAAGCAGTTGCGAAGTTCCGCTTAACAACTGGACATGACCGCCTAGCATATCACCTTTACCGCTCTGGCATTCTACCAGACCTGTCGTGTAATTTGTGTGGCCTCCAAGAAGATATGAATAGGGATCATCTTCAGCACTGCCCAACTCTGTCCGAAACGACAGAATGTGATAGATACTGGGAAGCGAGGAACCTTATGAGTCAATAATTTATTTAATTTTAATCATTAGGAAATAATAACATAAGGTTTTATGCTGATGGTAGCTACCAGAAATGAATGATGCAAGTTTCTTTTACATTGTGCACTAAAACGTCATAACATGGATGGCTCATTATTAAAATACACGTATAATTAAGAACAAGAACATTTCTGAAGCACTCTCTGAGGAATGATAGCGTACATGCAAAACACATGACTGTTTGCATTCACTTTCTTTGATTTCTACTGATGAAGAAAATTAGATTCAATACATATATATATAAATAATAATTCACTACTTAAATATTATGTTGTATGAATGGGGACAGAATACTGAAGTAAAGGAGTTTGTTAAACCGATTTCAGTAAGTGAACTTTACATGCTTAATCATAGGAAAGAGAAATAAAACATAACTGCTTCACTATGAGATATGTATTAGCAATAATTGAACATCAGGGCCAGTGATATATCAAAATCAATGTTTGGAAAATGTGTACATCACCTTTTGCGCTCTGTTTCGTCCTTTCAGCCAGTCTGCATTCAGGGCCGTCCTTAGGAAATGGGCACATTAACTTCACAGCCCCCCCCTCCCCCAACCACTCCAAATACACAAACTCTGCAGCAATAACAGTGTGTTTCTTAAATTACATTTCACGTCAAAACTCTGCATAATTCAATTCCATAAATTCTGGACTGCCAGGTCACTTCTAGACTAAACAAATTCTGTGGCAGATCACACAGTTCCTGCTAGGAGAAGGGATACGAGTTGTATATAACCATGCTGAGAGATGCACTGTTACCACTTACCCACTGGAGGTCTTCTACTGAACAATTATGGAAAACTACTAGAACACTGTCTACAGAATGTAAGCTTGTGAGGCAATTATGGTGGGGGAAAAGGTGATCTTGAGCATTCTCCTACCATCCAGTTGTTTGGCAAGTATAATAGTAGCAAGCAGTAAAGTAAAACTGCCTTGCCATGTCTCAGTCTGTAAACAGTAGTTATGCAGTTAATAACCAATTGCATGTTCTGCTACAATTACACACTATATGCAGCATTAAAAATGTTCATGACACATTGCGTTCAAAAATTTGTGACTGCTTGTGTGCCCACATGCAGTACAGCATTCAAGGCAATGTCTACATTCACACTCAGAGACTTAATTTTTTACAAATATTATTAGACTATTGCGCATTTATTTTTAGAAGATGGTATTTGTAACAATGCAAATAACAAGTTTTTTATGACGATACTAAATAAACACCTCAAGCTCTTATAAGATTCTATAGGCAAAAAAACACTGAAATCGCCTGAATCAAAACATGGTTTCTCACAGTATAAACAGTGAACAAATATTACTTACATCCTATTATAGTTTTATCAGCTTCAATAACATCAGAAAACCAAAAAACAAGTTCTTCTTAAACTTCCGTTATAAAGAATTAGTATTTCTGCCTTAATTCTTCCATTTTCATGAACAGGACATCATAACAAATTATACCAACACTAACCACCACCATCTTGAATATTTTAACCAATCACATCGCTTCCATTCCACAGATTATACATCACTGCCCTGGATCACAGAACATAGGAATTTTCTTTCTAACACAACAGAGCAGAGATATGGTGCGTTTTCATGTCCTCATGGAGTCGAGTATAATAAATTTCACTAATATCCTGAAATACTTTTAGCGTCTGAACTACTCAAGGTAGGTCCCCTAAGGCGACGCCATGTGAAGTAGGCTCGCGATGGCTGACTAGGCTAAGCTGTAGTAATTTCATCTTCGGCTGGAAGCATTAGCGAGGGCATTTCAAGCTGTTTCTTGGTAGGGCAGGCTACGCTAGGCATTGCTGCAGTAAAGAACGCCTGTCGACAGATTCAAAACGCGATGACATGAATCGACTGTGCTGGGCAGAATCACGTGCTACTGAGGACCAGAAACGGTTGCCGCTGCGCCGGGTTCAGTCAGTCAGTGTGAAGCGGGCGACCGGACAGGTCAGATGTGCAAACAAAGGTACGTGGCAGTAGTGTTTCTGTGGCTCAACAACGAACGAAGCGAAAAAAATATAATATTTTACGGTAAGTAAATTTCTGTATGCATACATAACTGAGACTTCAGGTTCTCAGGGCGGCGAGTTAGAAAATGTCTCGTGGGATGTGCCGCGATGATGAGGCGCCTCTGAAACGTCGGCCTCCTGCTTCGTGTTCTGGAGGTCCTGGGTTCGAATACCGTCTATCCTTACTGGGTTTTTTCGTGGTTTTCCTCGGCCCCTGCAGGCAAATGTCGGGATAGTACCTTAAATTAGGCCACGACGGCCTCCTTCCACATCCTTTCCAATTCATTACTCACTATCATCCTTTCATTCGACGCTAAATAGTCTGAGCTACGGATAAAGCGTCGTTAAACAAAACAAATATATAGTTAACGGCGGTCAATTTCTACCACACTACAGGGCGCAACATTCCAGAAGACGGTCATCTGGAAACAAAATGCTTGTTAAAAAAAGCGGACGGGAAGATGCCACTTTCCAGATATAAACGTAGAAGGGTGGATAATATTAAAGGGGATTTTCAAAAGTAGGACTTCAAAATGTGCGAAAACGCGAGACCTAATCACAGTTGAGACATTTACCAGAAACTGTGCAAGGTTTTCTGTTGCCACGAGATCTCGCGCGAAGCTAACACCGGAACGCCGACGTGTTCGCTGTTCGTTCTCGAACCCAGTCCTGCTGCATAAATTGATACGTTCTTCCAGGCTTTTTAACATTTCATAAAATGGAACCTGTAACTGTCGAAAGAAATGTACAGACCCACGGCGACCTCATTCAGAAGCTGATAGTAGCTCAGTCAAGATATTTCACATCCTTACACCCTACTTAAGATCCATCTTAATATTATCCTCCCTTCCACGCCCGGGTGTTCCAACTGGTCGCTCCTTTCAGATATTCGAACCAGAGTTTTATACACATTTTTAATAGCCGAACAAGGTCACAATCCTCTCCTGCCACGATCCACCTGGTCTGTTACCAGCAGCCTAGACCTTGTTCTGAAGGCTACGCACAAATAGCATGCGGTGGTTAGCACCCAACTCAAAATTAGCAGTTAATTTTAATATTATCATGTAATTTCCTGTAATTCCGATTCTCCGCTTGCAGAGTTCGTCCGCATATTGAGAGATTTAGACCAAATTTGACTTGGACATCCCGTGATGTCGGGCGAATAGTTGTTTTTTATCACTACACGTTGACCAACATTGTTGAAACGGCACTCCTCGCGAGATTTATCTCTGTTACTTCGCTCTGTACCTTTGACCAACACGAAACATTTGTAAAATTAAAAAGTAAAGCTGTCCCGCTATACGCCATGTAGGCGCTTGGGGGGGAGATGAGGTATACAGCTCCTACTCATTCTTAACCTCGGCACTAGGTGGGACTGAGTGGTCACGCCCCGGGAAAGGACCGCGGCACCCATCGGATAGGTTAGGTTAGGTGACTTGTACGGTAATAACATCGATTACAGTTCGATTTCAATTCATATTGGGTCGATATGGTCCAGTATTCGTTTTTGCGATAAGAAAATCGATTACAGTTCGATTTCAATTCATATTGGGTCGATATGGTCCAGTATTCGTTTTTGCGATAAGAAAATCGATTACAGTTCGATTTCAATTCATATTGGGTCGATATGGTCCAGTATTCGTTTTTGCGATAAGAAAATCGATTACAGTTCGATTTCAATTCATATTGGGTCGATATGGTCCAGTATTCGTTTTTGCGATAAGAAAATCGATTACAGTTCGATTTCAATTCATATTGGGTCGATGTTATCCACTATATCGTTTACTGCAGCAGAACTCCACTTAAGCCGACGTACACGACTTTCCATTATGCGTTCATTTAATCCCATCGATCCGTTTGGGGGCTACTTCCCGGCGGCTCATAACCGTAACAACAAAATCACTTCGCTCGACGCAGGCAGGATGTCGCTCAGCGGCACTGCGGAACGCGTGACGTCATCAGGCACCTTTCGATATCGATCCACCAGGGCGCTCGCGCTGCTGCCAGGTTTCCGCCTCGCACTTCCGGAGGCAAATGGCGGCCGGGGCAGAAAGCAACCAGAAGCTACAGGTCGCGGGTTCGGCTTCCGAATGCAAGAATTCTTCGCTTGAATAACAGACTGTTTCACTATTAGTTAGGCCTGGCAGAGAAATATCTTCATATTCCCGCATCATCCAGCGCTGCAGTAAAAAATGGACGCAGGTTTCTAATTATCGGAGAATTTTCACAAAACTAGGACGAAGACACGTGAGGGCTGGTGTTAATAAAACAATAAATGAACCGGTGTTGTTACATGTCGAGGAACCCCGCTCAAAGAGAATCGAGACTTCGAGGATGGCTGGAATGTAAGGATAATATTGAAATGGATCTTACGTGCATCAGTTGTGCCAACTAAATACGGACAACTGATTGTCTGAAGGATGTGACAATGGTTGATTTCCCAAGTTGCATGATGTATATAAACGTATGATTTCTACGACGTTTCGGGAGCTGGCTCTTGCCTTGTCTTCGCGTAACTGGTCATCATTTATATCTTTTTGTATCAATGACATCGGTCGTGAACGAACCTGTGACCTTCTGAATACCAGTATAGTATGCTAACTATGGTGTTCGGTCATTGCATATAAAAATATATTCTTGCACAGTACAGTTAAGGATTTAATCCTCGTTGCTATTTCACTCACGGCCTGGAACTGCGCGACATTTATGAAGCATTTGCTAACCAGGTTGCAGTAAACAACCAGAATCTCCCATTGTTGGCGAGACGCGGAAGAAAGGAAATTATTTTCGGTTCACAACGACATCATCACTGAAGCTTTACAGTAAAATACGGACATAAATATTGACACTAAATCTTTCATGTATGAACCAGAGGCCAACTAAACAAACTTCCCTCATTTCTCGCCGAATATCGCAAAGTCCGTGACTCCCCAACCCCGCCCAACCCGTTATGTGACCTGCATTGCACGCACGCGACACGGCGTTCAACTGTTGCTTTTATCGGAATGACCCTTACACCAGGATCAATTAAAATAAAAGCTTTCGAGTTGCGAAAGTGTCAACTTTCGTGACTCACAGCGAAGAGTTCGTCGTCATATGACACGCACTTTGCACGCCACGAGAGACATCTGCCTTCCAGGACGCGATTTAATTCGTGTGCAAAATCAATTAAGGCTCTTAGCGGCCCTTCGACGACAGAAATTGTATGGTTACCATGGAAAGACGTTGACAAAAGAATGTATATTTTTTAAATAATACCGATATAACACGACATTCGCCGAACAACGTCTATCAGCGCTTCAAAAACACACCGTTCTCTTAATGCTTGGCGCTGCTCTCCAGTTCCTTTCCACTGCAGATGAGTTCTAAAATACTACTCTGGATGGGGGATCAGATTATCGCAAAGCCTGAGTGTAAACAGGAAAACGCGGACAAATAAACACACCGAGTGGAAGGGAGCCAGCCGTCGTGTGGGATGTTGCTCCGGGCAGAAACAGACCGACGTTTCAGGGGCGCTTACTGCCTCCATCATCAGGGCGAGAGACCACGGGGGCTCGCCATGTATTAAGGAACTAAAATGTTGGCTTCTGATTATTTTGAAATGTTCGTTCACACCGAAGTTGTGGAGGAAGTGACCAACAGAGCCCCGGAAGTGATAACTGCATAATGTCGCAGCGACAGCCCCCAGTCTCAAAGAGGCCTTCCGGTCCTCGTACACACCGACATGAATGCAGTTCGGAGAGGACGCGTGTGCTACTTCGCTACGATCTGATCTTCATCAGGCCGCAACGTCCTTGGACTCCAATTGCGACATTCTGGAACAATCCTTCAGATCAAAAACGTTAGCATCTGGAAGTGGGTCGCAGACAATTTCCCGAAAGTCACGACGTTCATGTCACGTTTCACAAAAGCCGAGCACGTGCTGCGAAACAGCTCGTTGATGAGACTCCAGGAGGTGCACGCTCGGTCGGTGACTCGTCGCCTCGCGCGCGAACAGAAGAGGGCGCCAAACGAAACCAAACCAAACCAAACCAAACCTAACCTCCGACAGCGAAACTCGAGCGCTGCGTTTGGACTACCTCGACGGCGGCGCCAGTTCGCAGCCACAACAAATGCGATTCCTGTGAAACTTTACAAGCGTTTCCTGTTTCACAGATCGTGACGTCATGTCGGGCAGGCGATGCCAACTCCACCGCGACGAACACGACGAGCTGAACGGGGCGTGGTTCACACTGGGGCGACACTACGGCAGTATCAACAGCCCCATCCCATCGCAGGTACTCAGGTTCCGCGAAGTATGACGCCTCGTCCACCCGAACATTTAAACCCATAATTATAAGCAGGAAAGCCGCGCTCTCAGTAAATCGCTGAAAACACGAGGCAGGCCTCTTACCTCATTCACGCTGAGGCGCCAGTCTAGAGAGGCGAGGTCGAACTGATTGGCGCGCTGGCGATGCGGGATGCGCCGTCAGTGTGGCCATGAACAGCAGCAAGGTGAGATCCAACCCGTACTTGTGTCTGCAGGACTCCGACGAGGGCCCGCCCGCCGCCGACAGCTCGACTTTCTTCCGGGACGGGCGGAGGAAGATCGACTTCGTGCTGGTGTACGAAGAGAACGCGAGGCGTTCGTCGTCTGTCGGGTCCGCGGCGCTGGAGACGCATGGTGACAAGAAGGGCAGCAAGCTGGAGGACAGACGCCTGCGATTCATGGCCAACCTGCGGCGCGCGGGCCTCGACATGGAGGAGGTTCGCGATTACTTTTATAGTACACGTAGGTCGTCGTTGCAGCTCGCGGCTGCTTCGTGTTTCATCCTCATTCGGACTTGTCCTGTGACTTCGTTTCCAGAATTTCTTCCCTGTTCCAGGAGGAGATAGAGACTGGCAGCAAGAAGATAGTGTGTTTCATCAAACTGCATGCTACATGGCCCGTCCTGTGCCATCATGCAGAGCGGCTCAACATGCGTGCACCATTACAGGTAGTTGCGAAGCTGATATTCGCTCAGCTGGTCAAAAATTTTACCTGCCTCTCACGCAGTCCCAAGATCCATTAATGACGGCGATGTCAAAATCTTGCAGGCACACCCAAACCCATCAGTCAACTGGTCACACCTGCTCCTCAAGGCACTCAGGCTGCCCAACATAATGCACGAAGACGTCCCCAACAAGCCGCTCGACTACTACACCTGCCCATTCAAGAAATCCAAGCTCGAGAGGTGACACAATTATTAGTTTTTTATTCTACAACGTGAAAACCAGACTCAAAACCCATTTTTCAAATCATCCGAATCAGACTTTGAGCTGTCGAACTCTCAAACAGAGGAATGTTTTCAAGTTGCCTTTGGGTAAAGCTAGAAATAAAAACAGTGCCCTGGGCTTAAACGGGGACCTACGGCTTAGGACACACTTTTCTACCCGTCCTGCAGGTTTCTGGGCAGCGACAACAGGGAGACCTACTTCACAAATGTGCAGAGGGGCCGCGTCCTGTACGAGATCCTGTCCACTGCAATGTTTGGCAAGAAGAAGAAGGGCGAAGTTGGGATAGACAGACTCGTAGAGGAGGGCGTGTTCTCATCTGCCTTCCCCCTCCATGACGTGAGTGTCACTATGCAAACATAACCTCTACGTGAGGATCTGCTCACAGGAACTAATCGCCAACGATTTTTCAGGGACCATACGAAGTGAAGAAGAAGAAGAAGAATGGCGTACCTGAGCGCCCTCTGAATGCGCGGCAGGTGCTGTATGAATACTGGGCACGATGGGGGAAGTGGTACAAGTATCAGCCCCTGGACCACATTCGGGAGTACTTCGGGGAAAAGATCGCCATCTACTTTGCGTGGCTGGGTAAGCGCTGGTCCTATTCTCAGTGGCATTTCTGTCTTCAAGATCCTACAGTGGACAATGAATCTTTGCAGGGTTATACACGGGATGGCTGCTGCCTGCCGCACTGGTAGGTCTTCTGGTGTTCCTCTACGGGCTCTTCACAATGCACTCGAACCAGCTAGCCGCAGAAGTGTGCAGTGGCGAAGAAGAGTTCAACATGTGCCCGCTCTGCGACATCGACGTGGGGTGCAACTTCTGGAACCTGAGCGAGGTGTGCAGCTACGCGCAGTTAGCGTACCTCTTCGACCACCCAGGCACCGTGTTCTACGCAGTGTTCATGTCCTTCTGGGGTGAGTGTCAGCCGAGCTGTTCTACCGATGCTTCACAGCCACGCCCCATTCTTCGCGCGAGAAAACTCTATGTTATGGCTGACTGTTTCATCATCTGCTATCTTACAATTCATATACTAAAATAACAAGAAATACTTAATAAATATTGATGGGGAAGCCTCTTGACATTCTATTACTCTGAGGACAGGTCATGAGTAACAATTGGATTGAACTGGCTCATGCCCACAGCTGTGACATTCCTGGAATACTGGAAGCGTAAGTCGGTTAGCCTGGCGCATCACTGGGACTGCATGGGTTTCCAGGAGGAGGAGGAGCGTCCGCGCCCAGAGTTCGCGGCCAGAGCGCCCTTCCTGGAACGGAACCCTGTCACCGGGGTGCGGGAGCCCAGTTTCCCCAGTTCACTGCGTAACAAGAGGGTGGCGGCTGGCATCGGCATCATCTTCCTCATGGTGAGTCCCTTCTTCTTATGACTCGGGCTGCCCAGCGCATGGGAACTACAGACGCTGAGTACTGTCTCTCTGTGCAGATCTCACTGGTCATCATCTTCATTGTGGCTGTCATCATCTATCGTGTGTTGGTCTCCATACCACTCTTCCAGAACTCCACCTTCAGGTCACAGGCTCAGGCCATTGCCAACATGACAGGTGCCGTAGTCAATCTGATTCTCATCATGGCAATGAGCCGCGTATACGAGAAGCTGGCCCACCGGCTCACTGCCTGGGGTGAGTCACCCTGGCAGATGCACGGAGAAATAATGGTGCAAATAGTTACCACGTGAGGGACATGTCACATGAACTTTGATTACTTTCTATGTAGGCACTCGACCGGGTGACTTTGGATAACTTCAAAAGTCAGATTAACAAGTCACAACCCAAAGTAAGTCACTTCCGTAACGAATAAGTCACTTTCACAATTGTTCTGTTGTGTCACAGAGATGCACCGCACGCAGACCGAATTCGACGACAATCTCACCTTCAAAGTGTTCATCTTCCAATTTGTCAACTTCTACTCCTCCATCTTCTACATTGCCTTCTTCAAAGGCCGTTTTGTTGGCTACCCTGGCAACTACACACGCATCCTACGACTCCGCAACGAGGACGTAAGCACGCATGTCTCTTGTGCCGTGTTCATCAGCTGTGCACTTGGACACGTCTCCTTACTGATCTTTCCTCTTTAGTGCAGCGCTGGAGGCTGCCTGATAGAGCTTGCCCAGCAGCTGGCAGTCATCATGATTGGCAAGCAGATAATAAACAATGCCCAGGAAATTTTTGTGCCCAAGATAAAGGCGTGGTGGCAGAAGAAGCAGGCAAGTACACACAGCACGTCCCCATTACACTGGCTTCAGCACGGTTAATAGTGGTGGCAGAAGAAGCAGGCAAGTACATACAGCACGTCCCCATTGCACTGGCTTCAGTCTAGGCTCGGGCCGCAATGTTCAGCACGGTTAATTCGTAAGCCCATCCTCATCAGTGCAATTGAATAAATAATATATTTCCCTGATGGCCACTTTAATAATATCCTCTTCCATCCCGTTAAGTTCCAATAGAAGTCTTTTCGAAACTTGATATTCAAATTCACACGCTAGAAATGTACTTCTGAAGCCACGTGTACAAAACTTGGGGACGTCCGTGTTACAAAATGTGTGTGGGACAGTGACATTATGTTTGAAACCTGAGGAAATTAGCGAACTGTGGGCTGATATGTAGAATGAGACATTCCGCTTTGCGCAGGTCAGATTATCGAAGAATCACATGACAAGGTGGGAGGAGGACTACCAACTGATCGACAGTGAGGGCCTCTTCCAAGAGTATCTGGAGATGGGTGAGTTCCCATTCGCTAGGGGTTTCAAGAAGGGTGAATTCTTCTCATTAGTTACTGGAACATCCCAAAAATTGTAAATTCTCAGTTATTGTGTATTACACAAGCTAGAGATTTTTCAGAAGAAAATATTTTGAGATGGGCGTGAGTGGTAAATCATGTAAGAAACCTCCTCTCCAGTTCTCCAGTTCGGCTTCATCACCATCTTTGTCGCTGCCTTCCCTCTGGCGCCGCTGTTTGCGCTCCTCAACAACTGGGTGGAGATCCGACTGGACGCGCAGAAGTTCGTCTGTGAGACGAGGCGCATCGTGGCGGAGCGCGCAGAGAATATCGGCATCTGGTTTAAGATCCTGCATATGCTGGCACACCTAGCCGTCATCAGCAATGTGAGTGTCGTCGCCGGACATTCAGCGAGCCTACTTCCTTGTGCCTCCTGTGGTGCAAAGTTTTGATTCACTGTGCAGGCGTTCCTGATCGCCTTTACGTCCGAGTTCCTGCCCAAACTGCTCTATCAGTACGAGTACGACTGGAACTTGGTGGGATACGTCAACTTCACGCTGGCCTATGCCCCCCCGGGGACTATGCCCCAGTCATGTCGGTACCGTGGGCTGAGGGACGAGAAAGGAGACCACACCCCCTTCTTCTGGCGACTGCTAGCTGTAAGACTGGCTTTTGTCATTGTGTTTGAGGTGTGTATAATCTGAGGCTGAATATCGGTAAGACTTGGGAGGTAAGCGGAGAGGCCGAAGACAATTCATCCAGTTTCTCGGCCAAGGGACCATAAGTACATGAACCACTGCATCATGAAGTTTATTAACGCCATGGAAAAATGTTATTTAACCTTAGCGAAATATTAATTTTCGTAATAATTTCTTCCAATTGTCCATTTTCTGCAAAAAATAAAATATACAAGACCCAAAACCATCAGAGGGCAGTGGCAGCAAAATTTGAGTAAATGCGAGTATATTGCAGCACGTGGTGTTTGGGATCTGCCGCCTGATCGACGTTCTGGTGCCTGACATACCTGAGAGCCTGGAGCTGAAGATCAAGCGCGAGCGGTACCTGGCAAAGCAGGCACTACAGGACTCCGACACCATCATGAAGGTTCGTGCGTTTCACGTCAAAACCAACCTAACGAGGAGTCTGTATCAAAATTAAGTTCATTTTCTTTTCAACTGAAGATATTTTCAAAATTTAAGCACTTATCTGGGAACAACAACAACAACAAGCAGAAATGAGATTCACGGAAACATTGATTCTGTTCCGTTGAGGAACCATCACCATTCTGTCCATTTTTTGACACAAAACAATAATTCCGCCTCCTCTTTTGTGGATAATTCAAAATATTATGGACTGTGCATGTGGTTTAAAATGCAGACACAAGAAATTAACACAGAATTTTAGTGTCAGAGACCAAGAAGGATACAGACAGGAGGCAGTTCTGAAACTTAATACTGATTTCTCAAATACAGTGCACATTACAGGTTGCAGCCCAGGATGATGATGACGATGATGATGACCACGTCCCAAATGGTGGGATGGCTCTGGACCTGACAGCAGAACTCGGATCTCCGCCTCTCGCCGAAATAAACAACACCTCGACAGAATCACAGGCCACAAACCAGACGACCTCGACAACGAGCCAGGAGCGCGGGAACTCCGGCGTGTCAAGACACAAACCTAACACATGACATAAGATGTCCACCTTGTAAGAGGTGCCATTTCACTTTGTCCACACATCAGGCGGAATCGGACTGATTGTACAGAGCGATCGGAAATCTATGGAAACCGTCAGACGCGATGGAGCGATACTAACTTATTCGAAATCACTACTTTTTATAATACAAAGCACACGTTCATTCCTTGCTGCACGTACTAACACTCAACCTCAATGAAGTGTCACATCTTTAAAGTTTTTACTGACCGGACACTGCAAAAGAACTCACGTCCATGAGCATTCAGGCAGTTCATGCACAGAGCAATATACAAAAATAAAGGAATTTACTTGTGACTGAGAGCTCTGGGGCACATGCAGTCGATACTCTCAATCTGTAAAAATACTTTTAAATCTTTTTGTGAAACTTTCCAGTCACCCTGTAGATGGGGAAAAAGGTTTACAGCTTACGTATCATCACACGCGCTGCTGCTTATCTGCCTGTTAATCCTCGTCCTTTACGTTCGTTCATGTAGCTCTGAAGCCAAAAGCACCGACTGGAAAAGAAATACTGAAAATCGACATCACTTTACATTTTTTGCTGAAATGAAACATTGGCATCGTTGACGCAATTTGTGTCATGTGTTAGTCTGAGGTAACGTCCACAGACAACACACAACTGATTGTCACTCCTAAATTTTTGTAATTATTTACGCACGGTTAAATTATGTATTACTTTTGTATGTGAACCTGTAAAATCATCTGCGTCTTCTTTCAGACATTTATGAGCGACTACGCAATTAAAAGAAACGTATCCCATGCCCATATATATATATATATATATGTATGTACTTAGTAACAAAAAAGCAATATAAGAGAACACCAAATTTGTTTTTGCTTATGAAAGATGTACACATTGAAAATTAGCTTAGGTGTTGAGAAAAACTCTGGCAACCTTTCCCATTTCGTCGTGTTTCAATTAGAAACAAAGCCTTTCCCATTTCGTACGCGGTAGGGTTAATGGAGACAGGAAGAAATTTGTGGAACACAAGTTTTTCTGGAATATCAGCTCTGTTCGCATTTCTCGCGAGATTCACATCACTAATTTGTCAAGAAGAAAATTAAATAAATTGACGTCACGTGACATCCCGGCCCGTATCGAAAGATCATAGACGCTCCAACAAAAGCCTGTACCACCATATTAGCCACAATCACAATTTAAATACAGAATTTCTGCTTCAATTATGAAAACAACTGAAATGTGAAAGTGGAACTGGAATCTGTTTCATGACTCGAACTGTGTCTTAGCTCCGGCATTTATCTGAATATTTCTGGTATGTAACAACTGTTAGTCTGAGTTCGCTGGTTCACTCCACACCCGACGAATTCCGCGTTCTTAATTCCAGTACGAATGACTCGCATCAAGTACCAAGCTTTCTTTATTTTCTTTTTTTTCAAATATTGGAGGTCAGGAGGAAGTTGCTGTTATCTGTCCATGCATTTTGAGCGATCTTTATGATGGCCTAATCTTGTACAAAGAACTTACAGTACCACAGGAAAAAATAAATAAATATGTTCCATCACTTCTTACTTTGTTCAGACGTAGATCTCTGCATTAGTGACGTAGTCCTGTAACCTTATGTATACAAATACAGCTCCACTGTCAGTTCTCGTATCTCACTAGAATCTAACTTACCAGCTGCTCAAGCCTAGTCCAATTCTCTGCAGTTCTTCTGGGAGTGCACTGCTCCCTACAAGGATGAGCTCTATCAGCTGTCCAAAATGAACGGCCATCTACTGACTGAAAGCAAGAAGAAATATGTCCTTGTAAAAATGATTACACCAGTGGAAATCACATACATCTGTGAAGAGATATCTGCCATCTTGTTCAAGCATTTTAAAACTCGAGGGTCTTTGAAAATTGTACACCGAGTAAATGCTTGTGGGTCTTCGTTCAAAATTTGTTGGAAATCAGTGCAAAAGAGCCCTGTCCTCGACTGCCCAAGAGGAAGACCAAACCCAGGGACTTGCCAAGCCTTGAAGCTCGACAAACCGAGCACTGATTGTGCGTGTGCTCAGTACTACGAGCGCAAAGTATTTACCATACAAAAGTAATCTTATCAGACTGACATTACAATGTGGGAAGGGAAATGTTTTCCAGGAATTGATAAATTATTTTGGAAAAAAATAATATTTTACTAGTAAAAATCAAAACACTGTAGAATTTGGTAATATATTTTCTTTAAAATACACTACTAGAATATACTATTATGAACAGAGCTTTGCATACGCAGATTTTGATTTCATATTATTAAGGCTACCGATTTGCCTCAGATCACGTATTAAAACGGCAACACAGGAAATTCAAGAAGCAAAGATATGGGATACGACAACAGACCCATCAAATGTCGGGTTGACAGTCCGTCCACCGACAGCCTGAAGAAACTTAATTGGTCATTTCGTGACGCTTGTCATTCTGGAACTCGGTATAAATTCTGACTTCCTCGAACTATACCGTGAGCAATATTTTAAAATAATGTTTCTACCGCAAGTTCCTTTCAAATATTATAAAGTGTGTTTATTATTACTGCAGAGGGAGGAATCTATGACTTGGTAAAAGTGGGCCCACAGTCCAATGGAATGAGACTAACAGCGGAAAACCCGTCCCATTGACACTTCGTTCACCTGAAATTCCACATGGACTTGCCTGGGCACGAACATGGCCCTTCCCAATAAGAAGCAATTGGTCGCCTGTGCCACTGTAAAGTGTAACATTTTGTAGAGAATGTGCTAAAGCCAATTGACCATTAACCTCAGACTTACCAGTGGATAAAGTCTGCACAATCCACAGTGCAATAAGTGAGAACAGCTCCTCATTGGTTGACAACACAAGGCAGAGAGTTAAGAACCAACCTTGGCTCCCACGTGCTTTGTGTCCTCACCAAGACATGGAACTGTATGACACTCACTCTCTGCACGCAGTTCCACTTATTTATTTGAGTTACTAGAATGTCAATGATACTTCCTTGAAACTGGATATAAAATTAGAAGACATCCACATTCTTTCTATCAAGTTAAACAGTGCATAAAAATAGATGAAATCCTTGTTTTGAGGAGGTATTATTAAAACAACAAGAAAAATGTCTATGCGATTACTGTCAGTATACGAAGACACTACAAATGGAACATGATAACAACACAAAAATAAATTGAAATATCTCGTTCTGTCTCCATCCATCCTCTAGTTTCTTCTTCCTGTTTATTGTTCACTGACACAGAATTTATAGCAGACGAAAATGACTGACATTATACAACATACTCAAAGGAAAATAATTAAAAACCAGTTTCTAAAAATACAGTTCTTATCATGGTGGGTGGTACTCCACTCCATATGTTTCTATTATGCTTACAAAGTACACTTTTGTGTAGTTTGCAATCCAGTTTGCTAGGTAAGACTTGAAGCTTTCATGGCAACAAGTCCTATCAGTTGCGGATGGAGGCAGAGATGGTCTCCAACACGCATGGCTTTTGTCTGCAATTGATATGGCTTGTCACCTGAGATATTATTGCAATCTGACAGTCATCAGTAATTAATATTGCTTGACAAACTGCCCTTGGTCACTCTCGTAGCGAATATAACATAACCTATTTAAACACAAATTTATCATTGCTCGGTAAATAATACTAGCTTTCACATAACACATCTTCTCTTTATACGCATTTGAATAATAATGGAATTTCAAATGGGAAATAGTTACACAGAAGGCCACGATAAAGTACAATTACCTTTTTGCATATCAAGTTACAATTGAGTACGTGCGAGTGGAGGCATCCCAACTGCATTCTTGACTATGGGACCAGACAGTGCTTTGAGTTAAGTTTCAAGATCCGCTCGCCTTTACGTCAGAGGTGGAAATGAGTTGCTTGTACTACAGTCCATAGACCAGGAATTCGATATACGCGCATGCGCAAGGTTTCGCGGTGAGTAACGACCGATCCTAAAAGCATTCGTTCCACAACCACTGAATGAACAACAGGCAACAGGCTTTCGTGTCCTAATGGGTACAGCTTTAAGATTACCTCACAGTGGCACAGTACACGATACATAACCTCACTATTATGCTGCGTCGAAACAAATTTCTCGCATGCGCCTATTTACTTCATGGTGTCGGGACAAAATCCGAAATTTCACCGTCAGATAAACAGCACTGAATAGGACCGCGACTGTTTTCTAAAATTGCATAACTACGGCATGATTTTATTATTTAGAATAACGCAAAGCAGATCACTCACCATAGCAGTTCGATTTCGATTTCGAGTTCGAGTTCAGCGCTCTTTACGCTCGAGGTTTCGAGTTTTCTCTGTCGATTACAAGTGCAAGAAATGTCGACAATTGATTTCGGTTTTAAAACTGTGGGCCGTTGTAGTTCCTGTGGACGGCCAGTTAAACGGGTTCCCTTGTCATGACAAATATACTAAAAACGGGTTTCCCACATGCTTTGCAGAGACATACAGTGAATTCTACGAATTCATTTGCTTAAAAAGTATTCGTAACAATGTCATGGCGTCTATACGTTGTAGTTCAAGCTTTGCTGTGCTTTGTGTAGGGTAAACGAACTCTGCGAGACCCGCGATGGAAGATGGAACAAGGACAATGCAATTTAGAGCTGGAGGAGGAGGAGGAGGCAACGGGTGTTTACAAAATGCGGTTATGCTGTGTTATTCAATCCATGGTAACGTCGGAGTCAGGAGCATCCATTGCGGGCGGTTCTCGGCTCCAACACGACGGGGTATCCCCGGACCGACTTCAGCAAAATATCCACCTTCAGCTGAACATCCGCCATCTTGAGAGGTGTTGAGATCTCGTAGTGACGCAACACAGTGGACACCATTGTCTTCATGAGCAACATTGCGTAGCGCAGACCTGCGAGGCAAAGCGACACCTTCAGAATCTCGTAACTCTACCCAAAGCCTCGTTTGGTTTTCCCCCCGATCGAATGGTCTCGGGTCCCCCCCTCCCCCGTGAGGTCGGAATAAGACAAGTGCATGAAGTTGGCAAGACTGTCTATTTTCTTTTTAATAAAGCAAAGCGATTGCATCGCGGTCCGTCACATTAATTATATAAGCACTGGCATTTCAGGCCAATCGCATGGCTCGCTAATTCTGCCGATTAATACCCCAGGACCTTGTAAACTATGTTTTATGTATAAAATTTATTACACATGTAGTTTTCGTCCAGAACAGAAAGTGGCACAACGGAGACCGAGCGAAACACTTCGTACTTATCTCTGGAGAGTCGTTCACTAAGCCCTTAATTAAATACGATAAGAAGGCCCGAACGATACTGAGGCAGAGATCGTGACCTCTTTTAAGGTACAGTCCCAGCAGATGCGTCACGTACCGACGCAGTTTCTGGGTCCGGCGCTGAAAGGCACGTAGCTGAAAGGATGACGTTTGTTGTCCGGGAGAAAGCGCTCCGGGATGAATTTGTGCGGATCCGGGAAGAACTCCGGGTCCATGTGGAGGTGCTGGATACATACCACGACTGAGCTTCCGGCAGGTACGACCGCATCCTCTGTAACAGACACACGTCGGGTGGGAGGAATATTTAATTTACCACAGCTGCTGGCCAGGCTCTGTTCATTGCGTCCTGAACTGCACCCGCGGCAAGGCCACGGCCTTCTGGATGCTTACCGAGCTGGACGTCTGCAGTCAGGCGTCTCCCTATGAGTGGCGCCACCGGGAACATTCTCATGGTCTCTTTGATGCAGAGCTCCAAATACTGCATTTCACGCAAGTCACGCGACGTAGCCGCTCGCTTCGAATCCCCGAAGATCCTGCGTAGTTCCTCGTAAACTTTGTCCTGGCAGAAATAAATTGTTACCCATTGACACGTGATCCAACACGAATGCTTTCACGTGGCGTACAAGTCACAGGAGGCTTACCTGCTCGGCCCGTTGGATCGCAAGGACGAGCAGCGCGAAACTGGTCATCGTAGCGGTCGTGTCATTTCCCTGTGTAAAGAGAGCAGGGCTGGAAACATTCCCCGTACAACCAAGAACCCCGTTGCAGCTTGCGCTATCAATTTACAACTGACCTCGGCAATAAGACACGACGCGGTGCTGGTCCGATGCTCCCTTCGAGGATGCCACATGCAACGCGGACCAAACTACCTGACTGTCTGCCAATTTCGTGTCGCCAGAACACACAACGAAAGCCAATCATTCCTGAAATGAAACAGAACACTCACGAACCGCGACTATCATCGTGGTGGTCTCGTCCTTGAGCTGCTGGTCACTCATTCTCGTCCCGGTCTGCTCCAGCAGGAGGTCCAGGAACACTTTCTGCGAGGCGCCGCCATCTGACACCAATGACAGAGTTTCAGTGGACACAAGAAGAACAAATAAGAAGACATCTGGAAATTGCATTGTGCGAAAGCGCGTTGCCTGGCAACTGCACTCACCCTTCACGTCGTCGTCGTCGTCGTCGTCGTCGTCGTCGTCGTCGTCGTCGTCGTCGTCGTCGTCGTCGTCGTCGTCGTCGTCGTCGTCGTCGTCGTCGTCGTCGTCGTCGTCGTCGTCGTCGTCGTCGTCGTCGTCGTCGTCGTCGTCGTCGTCGTCGTCGTCGTCGTCGTCGTCCGATCTGAGGCTGTGTTCCAATCTCCTGCGCTGCACGACCTGTAACAGAGACAACACGCAGTTAGCGCCGTCTTCAGGACGCTCCCTGTGACGGGTTGGATTGGAAGAAGGGACACTCACGGTGGCGGTCATGTGGTTCGCGTACCGCAGCTCGCGCGCGTGGTCCCTGCCGAGGGACGTGAGGTTGAACACCCAGTCGGGGTGCAGCCAGGCCTTGAAGATGCGGACGGCCACAATCTGGGACAACCTGCGGTGGAAAAGTGCGTCACACAGGGCCGTACAGCCTCGACCACGGGGACAACGGAAGCGTTCATAGTTACCTCTCAGCAGACCTCACGTAATCAGAATTGTTGTCGTCCTGAGCTCGCACGCCCAGCCCCATCGCGGTCTCTGAAACAAAACAGCCACTTTAGTCCAATCCACGCGATCAGCATTCATTGTCTGAGTGATTGCGTGTCTGGCCGAGAGCTCCTCACCGCAAATCGTGTCCAGTGAGCAGAGATTCACGTAGCGGAACACATCAAAGGCACCTCTGCCGACTTCCTTGGCCAGCTTATGAACCATTATCTGCGTCTGCGCACTGAACACGTCCACAAACCGCTCCAGATTTCGCGGGTTGAAAGTCGGCATGATGAGTCTCCGGTTCACTCGCCACGTGGACACTGTTCAGAAAAGCGATACTTTGTAGATTTTTGCCGCCGTGTTCTTGGCGCTGGCCAGAACAACGTTGGGCCTAGGGCTTACCTGGGGCTGTGAAGAGGCCGTGTCCCAGCCAGGGCTCCAGGAAGCGGTAGACGGGGTCTTTCTCCAGGGCGTGAGGGCTTGTCAGCACCGCCTGCAGGAAAGCGATGGAGCATGAGGACGCACTAAGTGCCGAGGGACACACTCTCACACACACGGCGATACGTACCTCGATGTCTGCAGGGCGAGACACGGCCACATAGAGCCTGGGCCCGAACCAGAACGCGGTTGGAGTCTGGTAGCGACGCAAGAGGCGAGAAATGGCGCTCAGGACATCTGTGGCAGAAACAGGACGTCAAGACGTGGAGAAGAGGCACACCGAGAGATAAGAACCAGACGGCCGCGTCCCTTACCGTGCGTACTACCCAGGAACTCGAAGGCGTTCCCTATGATCGGCCACGCCGGGGGGCCCGCGATCTTGGCAGCCAGCGCCTCCATGCGGCGGCGGCGGAAACGGAAGTGTGCGTAGCCCAGGAGCAGAAAGAAGATCAGGAGAAGCAGCGCCATCCGCAGGACGAAAACACAGCCGCAGCGTCAGCAACGTTTGGAATGGCGCTCGACGTCGTCTCGATTTCGGTCGCTGTGTGACAAGAATGCCTGAATCTGGAATAGAACTTTGGTGAGTGCAAGGCCGACATGTGGACTTCCAATCCAGTGTTTTGTCCTTCATCATCTACCCTGATGATGGAAGCCACATCTACATTTACATTTTCATTGTATTTAGTATCAGCAAACGATGTCCTTCGGATCAGCACATTTGCCCCGGACATAATAAACGCGGAAGTCGTCCATCAGTCGGCCTGTTTATCGTTCGCAGGCCGACATTTATCAGGGGAAAAGGAGACAAAGAAAGATAAGTTATGGACTAACAGGTTTAAACAATTCTGAAGTCGGGAAACCTTCGCCCCATTAAAATTTATAAGCACGTCAAAGCGTTGGAGCTTTCGCCCCGCGCGTTCCTCGAGTTTATTGGCTTAATCGACGCGGATGTTTAACCTTGTAATTACGAAGACCACAAATGACTGCGGCAGGAGAACCCAAATGGCGCGATTGTGGGCCAGTTCTGTTATCAGCCGTCGTCCGGCCAACAGCGACCACTTACCTGGTGTCCCGACTGACGTCTCCCTGCGCCGTGTGGCCTTCGTCTGTTTTATAAGCTCGGGGGCCATCGCTGATTGACATTCAGGCAGTGCGCCGCTGCCCACCGCCTCGCAGGTGGTAATTTTGGAGCGCCAATCTGGTGGACACGTGCAGGACGTGCTCCGCGTGTGTCACGCGTTTAATTCCATGGATCGGAGTTCTTCAGAAGCTGGTAGTCGCGTAGGGAGTGAAATGTTCCGTCCTGTACGAGCAAGCCGCTGGACCACACCCTTAGCCAGTTTAATCCATTACACAAACTCACACTCATAATTATTGCGTCGCATGAACGCCCAAGTCTGCCTGGAAAGACACGCATTCCCTGTTCGAATCCCGCGTAGGTTGTTTACTGGGTCTCCTCATTCGGGTCCACAGGAAATGACGTCATACTGGCTGACTTTCGCTGCGCAGGTAGCACTGGGGGCGGCTACGTGACGTACTAATTGTCCGCTTAATGTTCCATTGTGTAGACCCACGCTACGCGATGCGTTTCCCTCGAATTACACGGCACACAGAAGTAAAAGTCACTTTAATTCGACGGTGGTAGGGTCAAAGGGGCACCGGTTTTTCGAAAGTACGTGCGTATACACACAATTAAGAACACACGAGAGGTAAGCGTTTTGCTAGATCACAAGTTAATGTGAAATATTCGCTGTAAAGTAGCGACAACGCTGCGGTTTTAAAATTTTTACTCAAATTTAACATTTTAAAGACGCACTTCTACAAGACATGGGACGTAAAATTATGTCAATATAAAATTATTATTATTAGCTACAAATAGTCTTACTATTCTCGACGACAAGCCAACGGACCCGGGGTTCGATCTCTTGTGCGAGTCACACATTTGTACCTTTCATTCAAAATATCCTCTGCCGCCATGTTGGTACTTTCTACAGCAAACAAAAGAAAATCGTACACAAGTGTATTTATAACCTGTGCCTGAATGATCGCTGATCGCCCGAGAAGATTTTGTTCAGTTACGTCGCCCCGGAAGCTTCAAGTCTCATATTCGACTCTTCCTCGTCGTCACCACAACAAGAGAACACGAATTACGTCCTGAAATTTGGAGAAATAAGGCAAAGGTTCTCTTGTGAGGGTTCACAGTGGTCCCACGATCTGCCGACGTGCAACAAGGCGCGAGCTAATAGAGACGCGGAGGGCAGGCACACGTCCGGCTGCTCGCGCCTGTAGGACGGCGATAAACGTGACGCATGTCTTCAGCGATTGCATGCAAGGCTTCTGAATTAGACATCGTTCCACTGAGTTGGTTAGTTGCGACGGGCGATAGAACGCACGGAACAAAAACTCTTTGATTACTGTCGACGTACGTCACACGACACGGCGACCACAGAGGGCAAGTGAAACACTTGCGCACAGACCTCGCTCAATTGTTTTGTTTGCGAGCGACACGATCCAGCTGTTTGTTTGCGAAAACGAGGAGCAACGTTCCCATGACTCACAGTGACACGCCGTCCCTTCTTTGTCTTTCAAGTGCTCGCTCGCCGATTCCTTCCCTAATTCTGCACGCATTTTCTCCTTCATGTTGTCACCAAGTTTCGGAGGAAAAAACCCGCCCAGCGAAGATGTGACCTTCTGACAGAAATGATCAGCTGGACCATTAATCGTGTTTCCATTTCATGAATGCGCCTGCGAAGTTGACTTAGAATGGAATGAGAGATCGGGAAGGAAGCTGTGCTATTGCCAGAAGTAGAACTGTTTTGTACGAGAATCGAACCCAGCACAATAAAATGCAGAGCACGGCACAACGTCGAGGACAGGAAATGACGCAACGACAGTGGTCTCTCAGGTGTGCCACATAATAAATCATTTCTGCTGAGTTTCGTCGGTTCAGTGCTAGGAACGCTTCTTAGAGAGTGGAAGTGTCCGGAATTGGTCGCCCAGGTTCCTGGAGCGGTGAGCGATGTTGCATGTCTTGGAGAGACCATTTATTATTGTCATTATTATTACTATTATTTATAATTACAGGTGATCAGGTAGGCATGTAATGGATGATTCGTCCTCATAGAAAGCTTAAAATAGTTTACAACTTTCTGGCCGGTTTGTCACGTGATACATCAATTGACGCACAAAATCAGTTGGCGTACAGAACGCACTTCTCTTCCTTACGACCAGGATTCCGATGATCTTTGCTGCGGATGATGAAAACCCAGCACAGAATTTGAAAGCGAGTCCCCGTCAGGCAAGCCTGTTGTTGTTGTTGTTGTTTGCCCTGCTGTACCCGTCCTCGATGTCCTGGAGCGTCCTGTTCCTGGTCTCGGGCAGAAAGGCGTACAGGAACACGGCGCCCCCTAGCGCCACCGCGCCGTACGCGTAGAAAGCTCCATGAATGCCGACAGTAGCGGCGAGAGCGGGCAAGGTCTTCACGACCGCGAAGAAGACGACGAAGCAGAAGCAGGAGGAACAGCCGCTGCCGAGACCTCGCGCGGCTGCCGGAAACACCTCGCCCACCATGACCCAGGGCAGCGGCACTAGGCCGATGCCCATGAAGAAGATGTAGACCATCAGGAGCAGGAGAGGTACCCAGCCAGGGCCGGCTGCGCCGAGGCCTAGCAGAGACGCCCCGGCACCCAGGCACGAGATGACGGC